TGAGATGAGTTTACCCATTCCTCAAAGCCTTCTATCCCTGTGCAGCCACAATTTATTAGAAACAAAAACAGAGCTGCCATGAATGGTGGATTTCTTACTCCTGCTCCATAGAAGACATTTCTGGATCATTTGAAAGGCAGCTAGCTCTGGGTACAAGGGAAAAGAGGCAGCAGTAAACATTTTTTTTTCCCACAATGACCACTTGAGAGGCATAGCATATTTCAGGAGTTTGTCAAGTATTTAAATACTAAACTATCATTTATACAGTACTAATTGGTACACAGCCTAGTAACTTGATAAAGACAGTGGTTCTCTGAGCATGCATTTTGTTTTTGAACAGTAATTAACCTTGATTTGGGAAGTAAAAAAAAACCAAGTGGAGTGTGAATACTTTAAGGAAGCTGGAGCTGTGATGTGATAGGAAAAGCCTCAGAAGACCTGGTTTGGAGTCATGACACCATTTGTGAGACATTGTTTGGGCTATTTTCCCTCTCTGGGCTTCAGGTTTCTTATTTATAAAATGAGGAGGAAAGACTCGATGATTGCTAAGGTCGATTCCCTCTTAACATTCTATGATTCCTTCACCCAGAAAGAATTTCTACCTTTCTCTATTCTGATTACAATTCTATAGCTGATTGAATAAAAATAAATATGACTGGAAGATTGTATTCTCACCCTCAAATGAGGAAATATTTTTTCCTTCCAGTAGGGTTTCACTAAGGTGGCCTTATTATATTTATCAAGAATGTTTACAGTCAACCCTCAAGTACGTGGAAATGAATTATTGACATGGTCGATTCCCTAAGCCAAAAATTAAGCTATGTCATCTCTTGCTGAATTCCAAACATAGTTTAATGGTAACCTGCCCCCAGTGAGCCAAGTGAAGTAGGTTCAATAAATTCATTCTCTTTGCTATAAACAAAATATTATTCAGGAAGGTTAATCTGGGGAGGACATCAAACATTCTGGTAGAACAATACAAATAAAATACTTTTTAAAAAGTGGTTTCTCCCCTAATATCTGGTTTTTTTTCTTTGCTAACAGAGTACAGATCACAAGAAGAAAGACCATGCACTTAGCACAGTGCCTAGCACATAGTAGGTGCTTAATAGATGTTTGTTGATTGATTGAATTCAACCTGTGACAAAATTTAGCTTCACCTGTCAAGCTACAGTCTATTTTGGCATTTGTGCATCCTTTCAAAGAAAATAATAATTACCCATATTTATATAGTAATTATTCAGTGCTCTACTTATACATCAATATAGTGACATAAACTACTTAGAGTCCTTTGCAAAGCATTCAGAACACTCTCTACAGAAGGCAGATCATCTTTTTTTTAAGTTTTATTTTCTAAGTTTTCTTTTACATGAAACTAATATTTTAGAACTTTTTTTGGTCTCCAAAGATTTTTTTCCCCTCCCTACATGTTTTTTGTTACTTTATCCTCTGTACACATGGCTTCAGAATTTATTCAGATTAATCAATTAATTCAGAATGTATTTCAACGTGCACAGTGGCTGGGCTTCTCAATTAAATTTATAATGTAAGCAAAAGACAAGGTGAAGTTAGTTATGGATAGCCAGTCAGGTGGTTACTGTCTGTGAACTCAACCATGGTGATTCAGTAAAGGCCAACAAGGGGTGTTTGACCTAGAAAAACTCCTCCAAACCTTCTGGAACAAATGTGGGAAAGAAAGAGGAAGGAGTGGTACAGTTTTCACATTGCCACCCACAACTTTATGGTGGGGTTAATTTTCTGATAAAAATACGTGCTTGCCATGAGGTATACAAAGCTTAAGACAAGGAGGAACTAAGTACCAGAATCAGAATTAGAATTCTCAGCATCTGGTCACATAATTCACAGGACCTGTTCCTCCAACATGTGTGTTTCCTCTTTGCATGTCTGCAGTTGGGCAAATGTATTTCTAATGCTTTAGAGATACAACTTCAGTATTAATAGAAGCAAGGATCAAACTGAGCAGATGCTTCAGGCTTAAAGCCCTGAACCACCCATGATGTCACAGAGAAAGTAGGAAAATATGGTGCTTGTAAGGTAGGTCTGTACTCCGAACAAGGCCCCTCTCTACCTTACCTAGAGAAGAGAGGTCAAGCCAATGTAATATGACCTTTCAGTGCAGGGTGGAAGGGGGAGAAGAGAGATTTGAGAAAAAACAAAAGCTTTAAAAAAATTTCCAAACAAAAACAATCACCCTACATAAAAACAGAGCAAAATGAATAGCAATTGAGGAAGCTATTCTAGTAGGAGAGAATAGATTAATTTAATAGCTGAACATTACTTAGTAAATAGTATTTTTTAATAGCCCGTTTAACCCACAAAATAGACTATCACACAGCCACTGTGAATCTGAACAAGAAACACAAGGGCATATTTCTTTAATGGGCTGCCTCCAATACCTAATGCTAAATTTAAGTGCAAATAAGCCTCAGGGAGGAGGAAATGTTTTCAATTATTCTTGTATGGGAATGATGGGCCAAGATGAAGCTTTTTGGTTACCTGATGGTTTCCTTCCTCACCCCCCCACCCCAGTATCATAGTGCTACATTTTAGTTAAAGGCTTCATTAGAAGGCAAAAGGATTCTACCTGAGGTATAATTTATATCATTTAAAGTCACATCAGCCCAGCTGATTGACAGGGGGAAGGAAAAATGTCGCAGAAAACTAGGAGATGAGTTTTTCACAGTGAAAAAAACTATGCCTTCTGTTTCAATCCACAATGAAGATACTAGCAATGACACAAAGTAATGTAGGGCCTGAGTGCTGTACACACACACACACACACACACACACACACACATATATATATATATAGAGAGAGAGAGAGAGGGAGAGAGAGAGAATGTGAGCACATATATAATTGTAGTCATAAGAAAGTGGTAGTAACTGATTATGCAGTATTAGTGTATAAAAGCACCACAAATTTTACAAATTTGCCCCTTACTAATTAATAATAATAGCCAATAGCTAGCATTTTATGGTGCCTGAAGGTTTAAAAAGAGCTTTATATGTGGCATTTATATAGCACTTTAAAGTTTACAAAGCACATTCTACATATTAACACCTTTGCTCCTCACAACAATCTGGGAGGCTAGTGCTATCATCATCCTCATTTTACAGACAAGGAAACTGAAGCAAACAGAGGTTAAATAACTTGCCTAGGGTCACCCTGCTAGTAAGTATCTGAGGCAGGATTTGAACTCAGATCTTCCTGATTTAAGTCAAACACTTTATCTTCTGTGCCATGTGGCTTGAGAATTTATTCAGATTGATCAGCTAATGAATTGAGAATGTATTGAAATGTGTACAGCAGCTGGACTTGTTAGTTAAATTCCTAGTGAAAGCAAAAGTTTTGGAGTAGGGTGGATGACTGTTTAATAGAACATAGTTCCCAAAGAGCAGCAGACTTTATCAACATAATTACAAATTATTCTTGTTTGTTCACTGTAGCAGCTTCCAGAGGGTATCTACTTATCAATGACTTACTTAAGGTTATTGGTTATCTTAGAAAAAAAACAAAATTTATTAAAAACATGATGGGATCGGTATGATTTCATGGGTATGGGGAATTTTCAGATGGGGACACTCCTTCTCACCAATGAAGCCTGACTCCTTCTCTGCAACTGATGGTCTCAGAGGCACCTGGAGCACTAAGAAGTTAATTGATTAGCCCAGGGTTACACAGCCAAGCAGAATTTGAACCCTTGTTTTCCTGGACTCCAAGGCCAGTTCTGTATTCATTCCATCACTCTTCCTCTCTCATCAAAAATATTACAAATTTAGGTTTTCTATTAATTCATTTTAGCCTTCAAGTTCCTAAGCATTAGTAAGGTTTTGCTATATTGATGAATCTATCACATGTGGATACTACAGTACCTTAGAGCAGAGGTGTTAAACACGTTGCCGCAGATGGCCCAGCACGCCTGAGTGCAGCCAAACCAGATTAGAATGTAATTGGGAGATATTTAACAAAATAAATAAAAATACAGTAAAGCACAGTAACATTCCATTTTAAAACTAAGTCAGTATTCGGCCAGCATGGGGTCCTTAGGTACAGATTAGCGGCCCTCATTTTAATTTGAGTTTGATGCCACTGCCTAAGAGAGAACGTTCCACGAAGCAGGGAACCAAGATGAGTGTGCTTAATTATGTACCTAAATGCTCTGCATGCTCAAGAAATGTTAACCAACCATAATTACATTTGTCAAAATAGTTGAGACCAAGGGCAAACAGAGTTCAATTAGATTAAAGGTTTGCAGGAGAGCAGGGGCAGTTTATTTTTAAAGGGCAGCACTATTCTCTGGGTGCAGGTATAAGCATCAAACATGCAGTTTCTCCCAATCCATTCCTGAAAAGTAAGCAAAGGTAATGCCAAGCAGCAAACAGAATCTTACTTAGCTCTTTCGGATGCTTCCCTCAGCTCTTCATCCAGTCTGCACGAGCAAAAATGATAGGTGTGTTCAAAGAAACAAAAAAAGAAGCAAGCAGAGCATGAGAGAAAAACCCAGCAAAGCAAAGCAAAATATTAGTGTCGTCTACATGTATATTAATAGACTTTTCAAACATTCTCCTGAGGGTTATGCCTGGGATAAACTCCTTCAATTAAATATGGTGTCATTTCTGCCCACTCAATTGCTAGGTAATTTTGTTTTGCAAACTCCTTCATCTGAAGGCAGATAGAAAAATAGCAGGGATTTGAGACATGCGTGTCATATAAAGCTGAAAAACAGCATTCACTTGCTTTGTCTGGCATTAAAAATGTTAGCTGGCAGCCTGGGACAATTCAAGGATGTGTCTTGTTTGGTAGCTGCAAAGAAGGTGGACCTCAACAGCTTTGAAAGGGAGAGAGATGGGTAACACACAGCAGGACATAGGGACAGCTTCCTTTCAATGGCAGCTTGTTGAGGTCACCTACAAGTGAAAGACTGGTTTGTACACACATAGAGAGGGACCAGCATTAACAGCAGAAGAAAGCATTTTACCTCACACTTCTCTTATAAGATTTCTCTTCATCGTACCTTACAAGATAAAAAATGAATGCAATGAAGACAGTGAATAAACAGATGAAAAGACAACAGGTACAAATATATCTTAAAAGAGTAGGTTCTCTTTCTCAGAATGTGGGGAAATGTTTAAATTTGCTTATCAATTTTGAGGTGGGTGTTCTCATCTGAAAACCTATAATTTCATGGTGGTTGTTCTCATCTGAAAACCTGTTGTATCACCTTTGGACTCTCCACTGATGCAAACAGCATATCTGTACCTTAGAATCCTAGAGAGATCACTGAGGCATTATGTGACTTGCCCAGGGCCACAAGACCAGCATGTGTCAGAGGTAGGACCTGAATCCAAGTCTGCCAATCCAATAAACATTTATGTGTTCCAAGCACTGTGCAAAGATCTGGGAATACAATTAATTTTTTTTTCAAAGAATCCTCCCCCTACTTCCTATACCATGCAGTTTTTTGTCAAATTAATTGTCTTCTAGAAAACTGGAGAGAAATAGTAAATTTAGGAATTGTCAAAATACTCCCAGTTTAATTATATGCTCTTCTTAAAATTAAACAACTTTCTGCCTTATTCAAGTCTAACCTTAGAAACTATGAAACTTAGAGTCTCTTTCTAGTTCAATATTAGTTTAAGAAACTAGTTATTGTGTTATTCTCAGTGCTAGGTAGGAGCTGTGCCCACAAATAATTGGAAAATTGAATAACAGGTAAAATGAGTGTAAAAGTTCTGTGAAATGGGAGGGGAGGGGAATTTTGAAAGGGTTACAAGAAGGGGTGAATAGTAACAGGAAAGACCCTATGTAAACAGGGAGGGAAATTCCCATAAAAAGGTCACACATTAAAAGTTCAATTTTTTTTTCCTTTTGGATTAAACTTTCTCAAATGGAATCCTTACTATATATCATACATTTCATCTTGGAAATCTATGGTGACGAGCTTAACTTCTTCTCAGTGGTGAAAGCTCATAGATGAACTTAGGACATCACATAACAGTGGCTTTCCAAAAGTAACAACTGTGAAATTGTTACTAGCATTTTTAAGAGTTAATGTCTAACTAGAAGAAAGAATTATGGACTGTCCCTCAAATATGAAGATGACTTCACTGATTCATCAGCAGGAGGGCACCTTACTCTAGCATCACATTTTTATTCTCTGTATGTTTTTGCTTTTTAGATATATTTCTTGTAAGCAAGAGATTGTGGGGTTTTGTTTTCTTATCCAGTCTCTAACTCTCTTTCATTTTATTGGATTATTTAATCCATTAAGATTGAAACATAAATAATCCATAAACATTAAAGCAATTAAAGTTTAAATTATGCTTTCCACCATTTGTGGCTCCAGTATTTTTTTTTTAATTAGTATTTTTAATTTTTGTTCTTTGGCCTTGTGCTTTGGGTGATTTTTTCAGTATTAGGTGAAGGTGGTTTACCTTCTCCAGTCACGCTTTCTCCTGGTCCTCCTTATAACTAATGGAACAAATTTCCAAGGTAAATGGCCAAGTCTAGGAGTCTCAATCTTTGACTATGTGACAAAATGATGAAAATTATGATCTTGGTTCATTAGTACTAAACCAGCTAAGCTAACTGGTCAGAGAGAAATTTGTCAGTCCTATCATAAGTCCAATGAGAGTAATAGCATATTGCTTCCATGGCTGAATTTTGGGACAGGAAAAACTAAACATATCTACCGCATGGCTTGTTGTTCTAGACAGACATTTCCATTTCCTTTCTATGGAAGAAGTTCTTAACCTGGGCTCCATTAAGTTAAAAAATAATTTAATAATTACACTTCAATATGATTGGTTTCCTTTGCAATCCTATATAGTTTATGAATTTTAAAATGTTATTTGAGGAAGAACCCAAAGGCCTCACCACAGTGCCCAAGGGGACTATGACACACAAAAAGGGTGGCTCTAGTCTAAAGAATGGGCCTTTGAGCAGGCTGATTTAGGTTTTTAGATCTGGAGAGGAAAATAATGCATATTTGTTAGTTTTTCTTTCCTTTTCAACTCCAATTCAATTCACAAACCAAGTAACCAGACACACAGGAAATAAAAAACCAGCACCACACACACACAATGATGTAGGTTTGCAATGATAACCCAAATACAGGGAGGTCCAGCTCATGGTGTCCATGACTTTAAATCTCACTTTAAAGGCTCTTGTCCCAGCACTACAAGCTTAGTCATCTTTCACTTTCTTTTTTGCAGTTGTGACTGAGAACATCCTTCACCATGCTTAGTCTTTGCAGGCTTCTGCTATTGCATCTTCCGAACTGCCCTGAAGTGGGCATGGGAAAAATTTCACCAGTCATCCCACCTGCTAGTTGGCAAATATTACAAGATTATTCTTTCATCTGAAGAGTAGCCAGAAAATGAAATGGGGCTTTAGAAAAGAAGAAGAGAAGAGTTCTTCACAATTAGTAAGGGATTGAGGGGCAGCGCTTATCAGTTATGTTTTTTCAGACAATAAAGACGTGGATGATAAGTTAAGACACTAGTACTATCTATAGGGAAGACACAGTTTAATTGAAAACATTAAATTTATGCTTTCTCCAAAGCAACAGTTAAGTTAATGATGAGTTTCATGGATAGGGTAATAATTTAACATAATATCATATGGAAAGGGATTTTAAAGAAAAAGAATAGTTAACTATAGGCTGTGAGGAAAAGTACAGTGATAGCAGGAGCTTTAATAAATATGTATGTATCAAAATGATCCTTCCCTCTGTTTTTCCAGAAGATAATGTGTTTCTTAATCCTTTTTCATAACACCCATCATTTCTTACCACATTTTTTAAGTATTCAGGACTTACTTGATGATACTCTCTGGGATATGGACACATTCCATTGGGATCAGCTCACTGAGCTCTGATAAGGTGCTGACATATTGTATTTTGCTGCTGAATTTTGAACTGTGAAAAGAGTGAGAGAGAGAGAGACAGAGAGAGAGAGAGAGAGAGAGACGAGAGACAAAGATTATGGGTTACTCACTCTCCAAAAGCCCAATCTTGAAAATTATGTTGAATTCATTTTGTGATGGTCAAATTTCACTTGGGCAACAAAATTTATGTTTAGCATGCCCATATTCATCAACGTCACCCTCTCTACCACCCCATTCAATAAGAAAAGTGTACAAGTATTTCCCAAATTTGGGCAGTTAGGTGGCATAGTGGATAGAGTGCCAGGCCTAGAGTCAGGAAGACTCATCTTTCTAAATTCAAATCTGACCGCAGACGTTTACTAGCTGTGTAACACTGGGCAAGTTATTTTACCCTGTTTACCTCAGTTTCCTCATCTGTAAAATGAGCTAGAGAAGGAAATGGCAAACCACTCCAGTATCTTGGCCAAGAAAATCCCAAATGGGGTCGCAAGGAGTCCAACATAATTGAAAAATGACTGAACAGCAAATTTTCCAAAACAAATACACTGAAAATTTCTTATTTTACTCCAATCACAAATTCAGAATACTATGAAAATCAAGTGAAAATGAATAAAAGAGAGAAATAAAACTATACCTTTTGAGTCTATGATCTTGGATCACTTTTTAGAATCTGAGTGCTAAGAGAGAACATTAGATATGGCCTCAAAGTGAGTCTTTTCTGATTGCATTTCTTTCTAATGGTCAATTAATTCTGTAGAAATTAGAAACTGATATACAGGAAAGGCTACAGTAGACATGCTTTGCTTTAAAATCACTTCTCCACTTCCCAATAAAATAATTATGAGCTAGTCATGCTATATTTAAAATGATGATGGAAGACCTAATGTGCATTTATGTGGGACCTCTGGTAAATCACTTTATCTCTCTGGGTTTCAGTTGCCTCATCTGTTAAATAAGGGGGTTGGACTAGATTACCCTTACTGTACCTTTCAACTCTGACATTCTGTCTTTTCTTGATTTTATCCTTAACATCAGGGCATATAAAATTCCATCTCCAGATAAAAATGCACAGACCAGTAGGACCCAGGAATTCTTCCTCAGCAGAGTTACAGACCCTCTGTGCCGAAAGTGTTAATCTTTACTTCTTCTTGTTAAAAAAATCCATTTTCTTTTGTCACTTACTTTACCATGCTAAGCATTCTCTAGACAAGGGGTTTTAACCTGAGATACATGAATTTGCTTTAAAAAATATTTTTATAACTGTACTTCAATATAATTGATTTCCTTTGTGGTGCTATGTATTTTATTTTATTAATTTAAAAACATGATTCTGAGTAGTCCATAACACAAAAAGTATTAAGAACCCATGCTTCTAGACCAGCTTACCAATGGTGGTATAGTACATCCTTTTATTTTATTTTATTTTATTTTCTGCCAAGGGGGATTGTGGCTACTCTGTTGAGAAACTGCTAAAGTTCATTTTAAAAAGAATTACACTGATTTTCTCTTCTTATTTTCTGCCTTCACAGCTTTCAAATGACCATGTTGGATGAAATGAAGATCAAATGAATAGTGTAACAATTAGAATTAAATTACACATATCCTTCAGTAACTAAAAGTGTTTGTTCGATTTTCTTTTCAAGTTGGATAAAGATCCAAAGTAGCTTTTCGGTTTCATATTAAAAGGCAATCCCAGACTGCTGGGGAACCTGGGAACTACTGTATATCATATTGCCTTTTACCGTGTCCTGGGCAAGGGCAAACATCTTTTCCTTTTGCTCAACTGCTTTGTATTCTTTTTCCTCTGATTTAAAAAGCTAGAATTTATAGATTTTTTTACAGACTTTAGGATAAGGGAGTATGGCAGCGTCCTAGCTGAGGATTCCAACTAAGCCAGAAAGTGGACACTGCACAGAGCAATGTCTAGCAGAGACTGCGGATCCTACTCAGCAGTATCTAGCAGAGTCAGTGGTCCAGTAGGACAGAACCCAGAAGTGTCCCCTGGAGATTATGAAACTAACAGCAATGAGATTAGTGCAATGACATCACTGGAAGACATTAGTGACCTTGAAATGATAGAGGCATGAGTTCACCCTTTTCCCTCAAAATTAAATTCCATATCTGCTTTTCTTTTCGAAACTCCAAATGTACTCCAGCAGTTGGGGAGGGGTGGTAAGGTGAACTAGTGTATCCGAAACTTGCTTTTCTTTTTAGTATGAGGAGAATCTGTTATAGCTATCTCAGGCAAAGGAATATCCAGGAAGTCTAATAAATGTAATATTAGATGCGGCTGTCTTGGACTAGTTGTCAGAAGATCAGGGAGTTGAGTCTGGGTAATCACTAATTAGTGATGAGACTTTGGACAATTTCCTTAATCTTTCTAAGCCTATTTTTTTTAATTTACTGAATAACAGGGTTGAAATAGATTATTTTTGAGCTTCCATTGCAATCTCAATTCTATAATTCTATGATCCAGATTTTCAACTTTATGAAAATTTGTTGTAAACCAATTTGAAGAAAGGATGGAATCCAATGTGGTTCTAGTCACATCTTGCACTCACTAAGAAATTGTTGTGATTGTATTTATGTTTGAAAGGTGAATGAAACATCATGGCTTTTAACCAAATCCCATTCCAGCTAGTTACCCAATGTCAAGTCCACTGTGTATCATGGATACATGGATACAGGAAAATGAAACCCAAAGTTTCATGACAGACTATGACCTCCATAAAAATTTCATTTTAGATGCTTTATTTATCACTGAGATTATTACACACAAGTACCTTGATAGTTATCAAGTGTTTTTGCTGTAGTATCTGGGACATTCCAACTCACAGGGCTGGTCCCCATAATGTGGTGCTAATTCAGGTTCGTGTTTTTCTTGGGTTTGTATGCCTAAAACAATAGCTAATGAGCCTCCACCCATTGTATCTACTTTTAAATCAGCTAGAGGACACAGTTTAAAAGAGGCACTTAATGAAATGACTTAGTGAGAAAAACAGCAACAAAATATTTCTCTTATAAGCCTGGGACACGCTTTCCCACAAATGCACAATGCATGAATGTGAACACAGAGAAGGGTTGTAACACATAGGGAACATGTGTGTCGAGAGACTGCGGATCCTACTCAGCAGTATCTAGCAGAGTCAGTGGTCC